GTATGTGGATAAAATAAAATCTGGGATCTCACTTCTGTTCTATTTATCTATATATGTTTAATTGTACCAATACCCTGCTGATTTGTCCGCTGTGGTCATGTAGTAAATTTTGAAATCTGAAAGTGAGAGGCCTCCAATACTGTTCTTCTTATCCAAGGACTTGCTTATCCAAGGGCTCTTTCTCTTACATAAAAAGTTTGTAATCATTTTTTTCCCCTCTCTTTAAATAATGCTATTGGAATCGCTGTTGGGATTGTGTTATATCTGTAGATTTTTTTAGGTAGTATTGACATTATCACAAAGATAAATCTTCCTATTCAAAAGCATGGTTATATTCTTCCAGTTTTGTAAAATCTTCTATTGTTTCTTGTAATTGTGTTATATATATAATATTATATAGGTCTTTTGTGTCTATGGTTATGTTTCTAAATATTTCATCCTTTGGCTGGAAATTACAAATGCTATTGTTTTCCTAATTTCATTTTCAGAACTTTCACCACTAATATAGGGGAATCCAATTGATTTTTGTATGTTGATCTTGTACCCTGTCACTTTGCCGTATTTTCCAATGAGTTCCAGTAGTTTCTGTTCTGAATCTTTAGGATTTTCTATGTCTAGGATAATATCATCAGCAATTAGAGAGAGTTTTACTCTTTCTTTCCCAACTTATTGTTAAGTGCCATTGAGCCAGTTCCTACCTATAGCGAACCTGTATAAAGTTTCCTAGGAGTAGCTAATGAGCTTGAACAGCTAAATTTGCAGTCCAATGCATTAGCCCACAGTGCTACACAAGGTACTCCAATTGGATGCCTTTAATTTCCCTTTTTTGTCTTTTAGCTTTGACTAAGACTTCTAATACAATATCGAATAGGAATAGTGATGAAGGGCATCCTTGTGTGGTTCCTGCTCACAGAGTGAATGCTTTCAGTTTCTCTCCATTGAGAGCGATGTTGGCTGTTGTGTATATGTTGTATATATATTCTTAATTATGTTGAAGAACTTCCCTACAATTCCTACTTTGTTGAGTGTATTTATCAGGAAGATTGATTTTGTCAAATGCCTGTTCTGAATCAATTGATATGATCATGTGATTCTTTTCCATTAATTAATTCATATGATGGTTTACAGTGATTATTTTTTCTATTATTGAACTCTACTTGCATCCCTGGTATGAATCCTACTTGGTCATGATGTATTATTTTTTCATGTTTTTGAATTCTATTGGCTAGGGTTTTGTTGAGAATTTTTGCATCTATGTTCATAAGGAATATTGGTCAATAATTTTCTTTCTTAGTGGTGTGCTTCCCTGGTGTTGTTATGAGGATTATGCTTGCATTATAAAATGTATTAGGAAGGTTTCCATCATTTTCTATATTCTGGAAAAAAAAATAGAATTGGTAATAGCTTTTCCCTGAATATTGTGTTCAATTCACCAGTCAAACCATTTTGCCCGGATTTTTTTGGTTGGAATTTTTTTTTTTTATATCCTGAGCAATTTGTTCTTCTTATAAATCTGTTCAAGTTTTCTACTTCATTCTATGTAGGTCATGTTTTTCTAAAAACATATCCATCTCCACTAGATTTTCATATTTGTTCGAGTACAACTCTACAGTATTCTGTTATCAGCCCTTCTATTTACATTGTTTCGTGTGTGACATCTCCCATTGATTTCTTAAGCATATTATTTGTGTCTTCTCTCTC